ACCTAATAGAAAGCGTTTATTAGCTTCGTCTACTCTTAAGCGGTAGGTCAAAGGGTAGTTCGGAAGGTCAATTAGTTATATCAACTATAAAGAGGTTGATCAGTCCCATTCGCTATAGAAGGGTAGATCAATGAGAACTTCAAAATATTGATTAGTTGCATCAACTATTAAGAGGTTGGTCAAAGGGTACTTCAGAAGTTTGATCAATCTCATGAACTACACCGTAGAAAAACGAGAGGATAATAAATCCGTAATGAGGGTGTGGCTGTGGAGTATGGGTGGGTGTGAAGTGTGGGCCGAGTGTGTGGGTGTGGCTGTAGGTGTGAGTGTGGGTGGGTGTGGGGTGTGGATGCGGGTGTGTGTGGGTGTGGGTTTGGGTTTATTGAAGTGATTACTGACCAACACCCACACCCTTACTCACACCAACATCCTAGCTACGTCTGCCTTCAATATTTATTTTTACTTCTAATACAATTCTTATTAATCTAGTAACCTACGAACAAACACTATTTCATTAAATAAAATCTGATGAAAATTCAATTTTAACGGACGGATTAGAAATTCAACTTGTCTAGGAGATTAAACATATTTCATATGAATAAATTTTACATAAATTTCATCAAAGAATAAAGAACTTTCAAGTGATATTCCATAGAGCCTCAACCGTTATATTGATGATAGATAATAATTCGAAATATCCTTTAAATATAATTATACGTTTTATTTATGACCTTTAAGTCAATAATTAATCTCTCTTGTTTTTAAGAAAAAAAACAATAAAATATCTACCACCATAAATATAAATCATGATCAATAAATTTAATCAAATAATCATCAAGTAAATTTTCTGATTTAATTAAAAAATTAAATTTTTGTAAATATGTTTTAATGATATATGTAATATTTAAGAAAAATAAATGATCCATTTTTGATAAAAAACATCGTGTAATTTGAACGATTTGTTTTTGAAATTCTCCAGTTTGTAGAGATTCTAATTGTGGAAATACATTAATAAAAATTTGAATTTCACCGAATGAACAACAATGAAGAACTTGTAAATTTTGAATTTTATTTGTATTTGATAGAGATTGAAAATTTTCGCTTTGTTCAATTGATTTCAATTTAGTTTGATCGATCGATTGAAAATTCCATTTTAAGAAACGTAAATTTGGTGTCAAACATATTAAATTTATAACTTGTTGAGTTGGAAAATCATTACAATCAATAATTAATTTCTTAAGTTGTTTTAAAGCAAGAATTTGATGAAGAGCTGCTAACATTGACCCATAATATATCTTACCATAATTTTTAATGGTTAATTCAATGACATTTGAAAAATAAATGACAGAATTGTTAACAGCTCGTTTACCACAAACATTAATATGTTTAACCGATTTGAAACCATGTTTTTTAAGATAAGAATCAATGTCATGATCAAATTGCAAATGAAATGTATGATCTTTTCTTCTAAATAAATTTTTACAAGCTTGTCAGCAAAGTCTTTTTCAAATAAAAACGAAAAAATTTAGATATTTCATGAGTTTAGAAATATTTTAGTCGAAATAATTTTCAATATTATTTTTCTAGTTATTCAAAGAAGTCTATTCTTTTTATTATTTGTTTCTACGTTACTTAAAGTGATTAGGCAATCTAAATGAAGGATCAATATTTTAGGTGGCAATACAAATGTATTTATTGATCAATGATTTCGAATGTTATCAGAACTAAAGATATTTCTTGAAGCCAATCTCTACAGTAATCGACTAGTATTGACTTCTCATCGTGAGCCTCCGTTAACCAATTGCCATTCTTCTATTCGACATCTACGAAAATGCATTTTTGGATCTATGATCCTGAGTACTAAGATCTTGCGTGTGACAAAATAAAATTAATTTTTTTCTTTTTACCGATATGAATTTGTTGAATAAAATATTCCATTATTTGAATTCTCGTGACAATCATATTGATGATCAAAAAACCATTGTTTTTCCGTTCAAAGCTTCGATCTAAATTGACCACTTAAACAAAGATATAAAAATCGATGCATTGCAGTAGTATAACTATTATTCATATCAAAAATATGTAAATTTGGCATTGAAGATGAAGTTAATTCTTCCCATTGTTTTGCATGTGAATATGATGAATCATTGAATGTTGAAATACGTAAAACTTTAATATGATGAAAGAAATGTTTTATTAATTCTTCAAATTGATGGAAATGAATTGAATGAAGATCGAAAAAAACATAGTTTAAATCTTTTAATTCAATTGAATAAAAACCTATCTGTGAATGATTTGATCCAAAAAGATAATTAATTGATAAATGACGAGGTTTTGAAAGATAAATAAATAATTTTTGAAATGATTCATATCGAAAAGGACTATTTATTATTAAATATTCAATAGAACTTTGTTCATATTGATCAAAATCTATTGGTAATACATTTTCATTATCTTTAATTCGATATGTTAATCTACAATATTTTAATTTTTTTAAACGAAATATTTGAATAAAAATAATAGTTGGATTTAGAATATAATCAATAGGAGAAAGAATTAATGTATGTAATTTAGGTAAATGAATTAAATGTTTAAGAATTTTGTCAAGATATTTTGAATTGATATGTTCAAATATTAATTTTTCAATATGAATAAAATCACAAATAAGACGTGGTGGAGAAAAAATTAGTTCAATTATAAATGGATTTGATAAATGAAGAATATTTATTCGATGTTTATTTGGTTGAAAAATATTTTTATTATAAAGATCAAAATGCAATTTTGATATTGTTGAAAGATTTATTTGAAATGGAATATTTAAATTAATAAGGAGATTTTGAAATCGATTATTAAGATAAAAGAAACCATGATAAATATCATTATAATCAAGATATTCAAATATTTCATAAAAAATTTCATTTGCTAAATTTTCAAAACAAGATCTAAATTAATTAATAGAAATTTAATTAAAAAAAAATAGATTTCCAGTAAACTGACTTAATTGTTGTTATTAACAATTTTGTTTTTTTTTTATTATTGTAATCATAAACAGTGTCGTCTGATGATCGTTTTATTCTTCTTTCCATGTTTCAAATAAGAAATAACGATGATAATGACCAAGAATAACGAAAAAGAATCCATATATATATATACATGCATGAACACGTGAAGTAATATATTCTCTCTCTCCCATTTATACGTTATCTTTGATTATTAAACAAGTGTTTAGACTAAGAATTTTATTTTTCTATCAAACAATCATAGAGCAATTGAAATGATTTTTAGTCTTTGGATTATCGTCATCACTTTTCATTTCAAGGAGAATGACGGATAAGGTCATTTTCTTTCTTCCAATGAAAACGAGATTTATTTATTGGAAACTGACCTATTGATAATTAGAATCTGTGAAAAATTTATAATATAAATGTAAAACTATAGATTCTACGGTGAGTGTGGATGCGTAAATGAAGATGAGTTTTCTATTCATTCTGACCTTCATTACATCCTCACAAATTCTTTGAAGAATTTTTTCTCAATCATAAAATTCTAAAAATAATGCCAATGATTGTTTTCTCTAAGTTCGATAAATAATTGAATCTAATCAAGAAATCTGTATAGTTTAGTTTTATTTTCAATGAATTCCTTGATCTTTATTGAAGAAAATTCCAACAGAAATGTTTTCTTGAAGATAAATATTTAATAAATCTTCTTTTTAAGAAGAGAAATTTTGATTTGTATTTCTTTTCTTCTAGGGTGGATGTGGGTGAGTGGGTGTAGCTTTGAGCATTGTTTTCCTCCACAACCACACCTCTCAATCACATCCACATCCTATTTCATATTACATAACTTACTTGGCAGATTTCAAGCAATATTTTATAATTGAACTAAAATCTTTGAGGAATCATTATTTTATCACTAGAGTAGGCTAACTTTTCCTAAAACTTATTCATAGAACATCTGTTCATTTTTACCATATGTTAGTTAATAATAGACGTGATGA